ATAAACGCTCTCAAAATAACACAATGGGATTCAACTTCATTTTAGACATTTGGAAAGCAGTGTCATACTTTATTTTAAATAAACCCATGTAAAAACAAAGTTAAAATGAAAAAATGGTACCTGAAAAATAAATTATTTGATATAAAACAAATCAATAACTTAAAAACATACTAATATACAAAATGATTAACGATATACTGTACAGTATGGGAAACAATTGATAAAGTCTTCTGTCCCACAAAACAGATTACTTTATAAACAAAAGGTTACATAAGTTAAGGGAAATGAAATCAGTAAATAGACTAGAAGTACATTATTATTCAAACTTACTGGTCAAATAAAGGTTTATCCCAACTTATGATGCTTCAAATGTCTCAAGTCATTTTCTTCTTAATGACCAAGTGAAAAAGTTTAGCTATATCACTGAAAGGTTGTTTAAAAATGTTTAAAAATAGAGAACAATAATTAATATGAGAATGAAGTTTCTAAAATGTGAACACAGTAGCAATATTTCAAGATTTCAGGTAGCTGTTCCACTATTACTGAATTTCCATCATCATGAACAAAAGAATTTAGTGTTGAAAATTCCACTCAACAGAAAAATATTTCTAGTTAAAATTGTCCTTGTAAATTGTTTACCAAGTGTGATATACATCAAAGAATTGCAGCAAGATTGAACAAAGCAACAAGTTTTAAAGGCAAAGCCACTCACTGGATGCTTTGTGTTCTGTTTTAGAGATCATAAAAGCTTTAACATCAATTGTGTTTTTATCATGCACAGGGAAAAATATACACCTAATTTTTTATTAAATATATTTTACTACATATGAATGATACAAAAAAGCATACAGAAAAAATAATGCTGTACCTGATTAGAACTAAGAGAAGAAATTTAGACAGAAGTTAAAAAACTTCAATTTTTAATTCTATCGGTTATACCTTGGACACTCTAAGCTGTGCATTACACAAGTACCTCAACTTAAAAAATGGAAGTGGGGTCATTGTGTTTTCTTTGAAATCCATGTATTTTCATAATGTGGCGGAAACCCAGTAGCATATACTACAGATCACAATGCTTAGCCTTTTGATCAATATATTCCTCTATCAATCCTACGGTGCTGGGATTTCCCAGTATTAACAGGAAGTGCAGACAATGTTAAGGAACCTGCCTTCAGCACAGCAGAAGACTCTTCTGCCAACAAATATAGAGATTAAAGAAAATGTGGTACACACTAAGTGACAAATTCTTGTCCTTGACTAAATTAATGCAACTCCACTGACTTAAAAAGAGGTGTGCCTGTTCATAGTAGGCGTGAATTGGTCCCATCTCCCTAAAACTAATTGTTTGAAGCCCAAAAAAAACCTGAAATGGTGTAATAAGGTGCTTGCTCAACAATGATACAAACTTCCCATTTTGGAAGTCAAAATTCGGTAACCTTATATCAGAGGTAGTATTATGACAGAAAGCCCTATGTGGAGGGTGCTCTGTGTTTTACTTTTGAGAATTATGGAAAACCATGACATCACCAATATTTCATTAAAAAGTTGTGCATTTTTAAAAAAAGTTTCCACAAACTATAACACATTTTACAGGTAATTATTAGAAGTCCTAATTCCAATAAACAAATTTTTGTTATAACTAATCAAGTACATTTGGGGACATCCTTATAAAATTAATTAGAAGTACATATTATGTAATTATAAACTGTACACATTTAACTTTAATCACTCCAGTTTAGCATATACTGAAGCTGAGACCCTTTTCTGAAATTTTTGAAGAACCTCCATTTTATTGCCTAACCAGAACATTAAACAACATAAAATTATGTAACTGCTTATAAGGAGGCTGGGAAATATCTATGTTTGAAATTTAACATTCACAAAGATTGGATTTCATTTTTAGGAAAAAGTGACTGATATTTTAGTTGAGGCTTAATTCAATTGCTGAAAACTGTCTCATAGTACTAGCTACAGTATCTTATTCCAAAACTTTGAATTGCTTTGAAAAAGTAACATTGGTAGAACTTTGCATGCTCCTATAAAAACAATGTTAAAAACAGCTGACTTACAAACCTTTAGAAGTAAAGGTATTCAAACCCATTTGGTCACCTGCAATAAAGTAAATGACCATATACTGACCACCTACAAGTAACTGCAGTGAGAAATTCATAACCTATTCCAAGATCTTGAATACCTCAATACTATCAGTGTGTTTTCTGATACTATCATGATGCGGATGTGCTGGAAAAAAACCCCAAAAACAACCAAGGGGAAAGAAAAAAAGTTTAGACATACATCACTGAGGGGATATTGCCCTGGAGAGTGATGCCTCCTACTCTTTCCCTTCCATCCCCAGCATGATCTTGAAATCCTTCACAGTCCCAATCCAAAAGAACTGAAGAGGAGGGGTTGCCATAGGCTCAGGGGCAGGAGGCAGCATGACTGTTTTGGCTCAGTTCCACCCCGCTCCACACCTCATAGCAGAGTGGGGGCACAGGATCCTAAATGAACCAAATATCTTATGATGCAACAGCTTCAAGAATAAAGATACCCTCCTGCTCACTTTAGTGCATGGGAACAATTTGCAAATAGGAGAATCGAGGGGTCAATGTATTTGGAACAGACAAAAAAACACTATGAGAAGTTGCTTTACTTCATCTCAGTTCATAACTTTCATGATTCTCGGTATTATTCGTTGCTGCTCATGTGAAAGAGGTGTGTATTTATCTTTGCATCTTGTACAAAAAGCACATAGCAGCATTATAATTTTATGTATTTATTTTTTGCTTTTAAAGTGAAATTCCCCCTGTGCTAATGACCAACACAAGCCTATACTGAAGGCTAAAGTGGCACACGAGCCTTGTTGTTAACCCTTCTACACAAGGGTGAATTCCATCCACAATGGGATCTTGTGAAGCAAACAAAAAATGGATTGTTGGAGGGTTTAAGAAATATTACTTATATTATATTAATATAAGTAAAATGGACTGGAAAAAGCCAGTTTCTGAATACTTTTTCAATTCATTTGAATTCTTTTGAAAACATTGAATTTTACCAGATTAAAATATATAATCTAATACTTTAAAAAAATGTCTTAACAACAACAGCTAACGCCCAGAACATTTTAATGGAGTTTTAGAAGTCATTCCATGGTTATAATTAGGATAGTTTTGCCTTACCTATAAAATTGTCTCATCTTAAGAGTGAAACTCCATCAGTCATGCAAGAACTGCCAGGTAGCCATGCCCATATCAAATTCTGGAAGCAGTCCTATGCAGACAATGTGGTTAGTATCCAAACTCTGGTACTGTAAGAGCCTGATTGGAGCAACAGCCCCAGGAAATGCTTGGAAAGATTAACAAAAAACAAAGAACAGGTAAACAGAAGGAATGATGCCAGACTGGCAAAGGCTCCCATCCAACCTAAATTCCAGGATGACAGAGTGGCATGAAGAGAAGTGTACACATCTATGGAAGAACATTAATGCAAACAGTAAGACCAGTCATCCAATTCTGAGGGTAGTTTTTCCATGCCCTCTGTACAATTTCTGTCAGCTGAGATGAGTACCCAAAGTTCTCAAGGATCATCCTTGTCACAGTCTCCAAACAGTCAAAAGGGTGTTACGGGAGCAAAGGCAAACAACTATGTGCTTGATCAATAGGAAAAGGAATCCACCTTCCAAAACCCAGGAACCTCTGTGTTTGGGGAAGAATGGAGGTAGCTGAATATTATTAAATGAAGCAAACAGATCCACTTGTGGGCAGACTCACATAAAAAAATGTCTGTCGTATCAATGATTTCTTCTATTGATGTTCTCACTTGCCAGTCCCTTGGAATATGCAGGTTGCCTTGAACATAGGTGGATATGAATTAAAAATGGGCTTATTTTTGGAGATTATATAAACTGCAAAGATTCTGTTTTCGCATTCAATCAGAATGGCTGGTGAGTAGACGTAATGAAGAAAACCCTGTGCCCTCCAGACCTATTGTCCTTCGTTTCATGAAGTTTAGATTCTTAACTTCTCTGGACCAGAACCCTTGACACAGTCTGTGACCCAAGTGCACATTCCATCCTTTGAAAACTTGTAATTCTGGTGACAGAATTATCCTGGAAACAGATAACTCTAATAGCAAATTGCCCTTCAATAGGGATTTCTTATGCAACAATCGCTGGAGTGATGTCTGGATCTGGAGAGAAAGTAAATTAAGGAGCTCAGGGAGTCTTTCCAACTATCTCAGACAGAACAAAGGCCAGAAGAATTCTTATATGTAGTCTTGGGGATGGGTAGGATGATGGTTATGATTTCTGTACACTCCCTGAGGACTAAGAGGCCAAAAAGTACAACTACAATGCTGGAAGTGGTGATGGTCCAGGTAGAAATGGAAATGTGTGGTATGCTGGATGACTAGGCACACCAAGGCAGGCACACTTCTAAACCACCAGGCAGAAGAAATCATTGATTTATCTTATTAGAATTGAGAGTGTAAAGACTGCAGGATGGAAACAGAGGGATTGAGAGAAAGCAGGTCTGGTATGGGTCAGAACTACCCATCCAGTTAGTTATCAGTAAGTAATGTGAACACATGCCCCAATTTCTCTCCACCTGGGGAGTCAGATTGGAGTTGTTAGGGACAGTGACAAAAAAGGACTTTGAGCACACTCTCTGGCCAGATATAAAGTGGCCCCTAGACCTGGAGGACTGAAAGGGAGATTTGTAGCTTTATCTGTCTGGCATTATCCCCTGAGGAATTAAATGAATGTACCTCCTGATTTTCTCCTGCCGAGGTGAGTGGTAGTTTGCTCAGGTGAATGGCCTCATTGACAGATTAAGGGTTCCCCCCAAAATTGCTAAAGGAAACTTGGATCAGATGGGTTCTAGAAACAGAATCTGCATCCCCAAGTGTGAAACCAGGATGTTGTGTCTCAATCTTACTGAGCAGAGGTGTATTGGAAGGGGGGGGGGGGGGGGGAATCGGTAATGTTGCCCAAAACAGCCAACAAAGGACAGCAATGTCAAAGTCTCTGAGGATATTGCAAAGAGTTGTCATTACTCTGCTTTAAGAGCAAGGTTTGGCAAGCTCACAACAGTGAAGCTTTTGATGTGGCTGCATGGGCGAGAGCAGTTTTAATGGTTTAATACCACAAAGGCATCATAATCTCATTTTAAAGACTGGTCTGTGCAACTATCTACCATGCCCTTTACAGCAGCAGCCCTGCTCCCACTAAAATGTTTCTTAATGAGCCATGAGATGGAGGGAACTACAAGGAAGGTTCTTGGAGCTTTAAAGATGCACTCTCGTGGAGGAGTCTAGGGCTGGTAAAAGAGTTGATGGAACACCGTGAGAGGAATTTATTTAAATAATAAGAACCCCAGCTCTAACATGGAGATATGGGTAAAGCAACCCTGATATAGCTGCTGAACCCCCCAAAACTAGTATCTAGCCACAGATACAGGAAAGGAACGACTCATTGGAAGGAAACATGAGTGATGGAAAGGAAGCACTGGAAACAGCAGCCTGTCCAAGGAGGAGCTCAGAGGGGGCCCACTGTCTACCTTTTACCTGGTGGCAGCTGCTGGTTTTGGAGGACATTATCCTACAACTGTCTGATGCTGACTGTGCTTCTCAAAGGCTTGGGGCAAGGAGTAAATGGGAATGGCAAAAAAGGAAAGGCAGCACACATCAGGCAGCAGAAAGAACTTTAATATACTGCACTAGAGCGAAGGCATCTCACTCAACATTGCTAGAGATCTTGGAAAAGAGCTCTGCTCTTGCTGGGCTCTTCTGGAGCCAGCAGAGAGAGGCTATGTACAACCACAAAAGAGCCAATCAGTAGAGCAGTAAATGACTGGCTTCTGACAGCAAAAAGTGCATGCTGCAGATTAAAGGAAAGGCCAACGACTGAAGAACGAGTAAAGAGCCAAACAATGAAGTACAGGAAAGGAGAGCACAAAATTCCAGCGGCAGCACAGGACTGGAGGTCCTGATGCTGAAAAGAGAGAAATCATAGTTGTGATGCAAGATAGGATCTTAAAGAGCCAATGTTTGGGCATCATACAAACAAAAGCAATTCTGCATGGGACTGCCTCCAGAATCTGAAGTGACTACTCATTAGGTCTTGGGGATTGGCACAGGTTCACTCATAAGATAATTGCTGACAAGTTGTCCCAATTTCTGCATTTTCTCTGAACTCTGGTGACAGAACACAGATAAGATTCTTGCAATAGTTTGTCAGGTGAAGTCCCTGCTCACACACACTAGCTATGTACCTACATACCTTACATAGCACATTTTTGATAAAAGAAATATTGTTCAGTCTGTCTACAAAGCAACATATATGTGTTTAACTGAGTATCTGGCACATACTTTCTATGTGACAGATTTATTGTAATGCTTTTGTTTTCACACAAATATTTTCCCCATCTGATCTGTCAAAAGGACAGATTAATGGATTTTAATTTTAATGAAGACCTATAGTACTTTAAAGCAATATTCTTTTAATATTGGACACTTTGTGCAATACTTGGCAAAAAAAATAATATAAAATAAAAAACAAAACAAAATTCGAGCAAAACAAAATCAAATTTAATGGTCTTAAATGCAAAAGTAAAAACAAACAAACAAAAAACACAAAAAAGCAAAAGAAAATTAACAGAAACAGAACAACTCAAAGTTTCAAGGCAGTCTGCAGAAAACTTGGGGGATTAATCTTTAAATCTACAATCAGTTTTTTGTTAATATCTAACTTGCAAGAAGTAAGTACTTTTCTGCTGAGTGTTCAATAAGTAAAGCTAGTTGTCAAAACAAAATCCTATTAAAATAGAAAAATCTAGCACTCGTTAGAAGGGATGCGAGAAATACAATGCTCAAATGTTTATAACTGTTTTTACAAAATGGAACTACCCTTAGGAATTCAAACTATAATGATCTTTGAAACTGAATAATTATCTTGCTGCATTACAATGTATCAGTAAGTAGTGCATCATGCATTAAATATTTGGACAGAAGAGATTCAGTTTGATGAAGTAGAAACATATATTCACACTGTTTTTGGAGTTTCGTTTTGACTCTGAAATCTTCCGAGTTTCTCTGAAACTCTTTGGTCCATTCCTATGAAAAACTGGGCTTAAAATTTTTTGTAAAACCTTTTAATTTGACAACTTGGCCACTGTTCAGTGTGCAACTTACCTCATCAATGGTGTTAAAAGTTATGCTGGCATGCTACTACTTACAAGACCTTCATGTTATGAAGTCTAATCCTCAACTAGATGTAGCAATGAAAATTACTTTAAAAAGCAATGTACTGCCAACATCAGTATTTCTCAACTTTTTTACCAGGCTATTGGGGACTGAGGGGAGGACCATACTAACAGCATCCGCTTGATAGTTTAAAATTAAAAAAAAAAAAAATTAAAACAAAAAAGAGTTCCAGTTTTTGCAGACAACATTCAATAGAACAAATGTTAGTCTCATAAGTGAAAGCATGCTTCAATTTTACCACCATCCAGAGGGTCTAGTTAATGCAATCTACTTAAGATTTTACTTTTTTTTTTTTAATATATATTTTTAATGAAATAACTTAAGGAACTTAAAATTGGTCTAACATTGTGGGATTTCAAACATTTGAACATGTCAGTTGCATCCCAGAGTATAAAAACCTTTTTCACTTCTCATTTAGACTAAGACAAACACTTGTGAAAATTGGCGCAAAATGAGTTTTACACTAACAAAAATGTTTTAACTTCGGTCACTCCATTATCTATTCCATACAAAAAGCACGAGCAAGTTATTTGTGGGACTTGTTGGTTTTGAAGGAAACCTGTAAGATTTTGTCCCCCAGGCGGTAGCCATTAAGACTTGCTATGGCCATCGCAGCTTCTTCATAGTTTGTCATGGTCACAAAACCAAAACCTTTGCACTTGTTGGTGTTGAAATCTCGAATAACTTTCACATTGGTAACCGCACCAAAGGGGCCAAACATCTGCCAGAGGATTCCCTCATCAGCATCTTGACCAAGGTTGTAGATGAAGATACACCAGCCAGAAGATGCGTTTCCTGGAACATTTACACCAGAAAGCCCACTCATGTGATCTACACCCATAGGAGAGAACCTAGCAAATAAAAAGCACAATATTTCATGTAAAAGTTCAATACAATCAAGCAAATTAACTTGAAAGGGAAGCAACTGAATATTTTCTATATAAACATCATAACTTCTAATCAGAGTAAAATGTTTCACCTCCCCCGTTTATCATAGGACAATCAAACTGGCAGCTGATAGAGAGAAGAGTTAAATTCAGCAATGTGTCTACATTAATGGGTAACTACATAAGAATAGATAGGCAATGAAAGAGTTGCCTGGTGATATGACAATCCTCAAACAGGATATACAAGGCTGGTTTAGATACTCACATACACTATTAGGGATGACTTAGGGCAGCAATATGGAACTACTCAGTGCTTAAAAATAGGCCAAGAATCCCTCCCACGTGCCCCAACTAGCCTTAAATCAACTGATCTTTGTCTACAAGGGGCTTGTGCCCAATTCCCTCCTGGAGCTAATCCTGCCTTTACTGCAGTGTCTCGGGGCCTGACCGGTCAAAGGGTTTTTTGTGGCAGCAGATACAGCTTGACCCCTTCTCCATCAAAAAGCAACAGTGAAACACTCCTGCTCACAACTGGCTGCTACACTGAACACAGACAGACACCTCGTAGTCCCTACTACAGTAGGCAGGGAACTACTCGAGTTTCCCTAACAAGTGCATATTAGTTGGAATAACCCACAATTCCTAGCACACTGTTAATATGTCACTTCCAGTGCATTCTGATTTAAGTTTGGTAACGCACTTGCATAACTGATGTTTAATTCCAGTAACTATCATTTATAATTAATTAAATAGCCACTTCAGTTTTTAAATATTAATTCTAAAGTTTCTTCTGCCAAATATAGATTATCCGTGAATGTATAATTTAAAAATAGTACTTTTTTAATGTAAATCCAATGGGGTTGAGTCTACTTTCATTTACACCAGTAAAACTCCAGTGACTTCACTGGGGTGGACTCCTGATTTACATACATATGAGAAGAGAACCAGACCCAATCTGCCTGTGCTTCCTCATCCCCAATATACATTTCTCCCCTTCCTCCTCTCCCCCAGAATCCTGTCTTGACTCCTCCTGCACAATGACCCAGAGGTGTCTCAGAATTTCTAAACCTTTATTCTTTTCTGTTTTGCTTTTTTCTTTCCCTCCCCAACCAACATCCCACACCCTTAGCTATTTCATCCCCCACTTCTATTCTGCTGACCTAGGAAATTAAATCAATACAATTATTTTAATGACGCATTAGGGTTGCATAGTTAAGCACTCAAAGATCAGCAAGTGTCAAAGTTAAGGCCAAAAGGTACAATTTTAACTGTGATCCCATGCACTTATGTTTAACAATCTAAATTTGTGGTTCCATGTGACTCCACGAATACTGTGTAGTGTTATGCTATAGCTGAGAAAGTTGTTAGCCTACTAAAAGCAGGCTGAAGCATGCAAGGCTGCTGTACGTAGCCCACACATTAAGTGCTCAAAACAAATTTTCTGATATACAAAAATTGCACTTTTACAATTCTTTACTGAGCAGACCCAAGTAATCTGATGACTAACATCTTATGTCCTATCAAGCAGTTCTCACTTTAAAAAATAAAATAGTTTTTTTGTTTTTTTTGTGTTTTTGTGTGTGTGTTACGTTTTTGGTTCTTCTAATGAAAACCTTGAGCTTTCATTTGTTTATCCAAGTCTTACTTGGAAGGAGAGGCCTATTTTCCTGTAAATCATTCTTTGAAGATATACAATCTTGGGTTCCTGCAGTCAGTGCTTTATTGCACCCCTTGCTGTCAAACCTAGGTGCCTCCAACCCTCACCCAGCATTCTAACCGTTGGCTATGGTCATGGCAACAAGTGAAAATACTCTAAAGAGAAGAAAAACCAACTTCCTGTGGTGAACAGGGTGGATAGGCTAATGTGTATATACGCAATAATACCCATCTCAACAGATTCCTCACTCTTGAGACTAAAAAGCTACAGGGATGTTACTAAAGAAAACTACAAAGAGAACTGCAACAAGCATTTTCTGTAAACAAACATGGACAACAGGTTTAAAATTAAGAAAAACCAGAGTGGGATAAGATACGCCCAAAACCACAAGAGATTATAAACAGACACATTGCCTAAAAAAGGCTATGCGGTGTTGTTGTAGCCGTGTTGGTCCCAGGATATTAGAGAAACAGCGTAGGTGAGGTAATATCTTTTACTGGACCAACTTCTGCTGGTGAGAGAGAAGTTTTCGAGCTTACACCGTGACCTGCTAAGCTCACAGCTTTAATATCCTGTGGCCATGACTTCCACCACTGTACAAACAAGTATTTCTTTTTATCAAAGTTAAATTCGCTGGCTTTTAAATTTTCCTGGTTGCTCTCTTGTTCTAGGATTGTGAGGCAGGATAAAGTCTCATTTCTAAACTAGAGACCTAATCTTTTCAACACCAACTTCCTTTCATACTTGTAAACATTTTACTTGTCCTTCCCTAGATCCTTCTATTCTAGTTGCATCTTTTTTGGGATGAGCTGACCAGAACTGGATATAGCATTCAATGTAAGAGTGTTCCCTCAATTTACTTAATTATGATAAAGGAAGAGAGAGTGATTTTGAAACCATCGTATCATCATTTAACAACTAGTTTGTTTTGACCACATCTGCACACTGAGCAGAGGTTTTTACTGAGCTATCTCCAATGATGTCCAGATCTTTTCTCCTGAGTGGTTACAATTAGATTCTAGCTATGGGTAGGAACAGTCCATCCTTTACCATATGGGTGTTGACAACACCTTCATGTTGCAGGCTTTCCAGCCTGAAACAGAGAACGATGGGTCAGAGAGCAGTACCAAGTGAAATAAGAGCATTCAGTAACAATGTGCTATTGCTTTGCCTAGACCAACAGTTCTCAAACTATGGGGCGGGCCTCACAAGGGAGGCATGAGCTGCACGCTTTTTCTGATTTTTGTAGAGCTCTCGCGGTCAGCCCCAGGGTGGCTGGGGTTTGTGCAGAAGGGCTGTACCCTCCTGGGAGGTGGAGATAAATGGGACAGCAAGGGGCTAAAGGGGCTCTCCTTTCCCCCACCCCCCTCAATCTCTCACCAGGAGGTAGCCCAGGCTAGGGCTCTCTCCTCCTGCCCCCAACCCCTCACCTGGAGGTGGTGGGGCTCCGGCTGTCAGCCTGGGGTGGCAGCAGCAGCAGTGCAGAAGTAAGGGTGACAATGGGGCACTAAGTCTACTGTGAAAAGTGATATTGACGAATACCACTTTTCACATTGCCAACCTTACTTCTGTGCTGATGCTGGCGTGGCGCTGCCTTCAGAGCTGGGTGCCCGGCCAGCAGCCATTGTTGTCCGCTCTGCCTGCAGAGCTGGGTGGCGGTATTTGTACTTGTGGGGGAGGGGAGGGGAGGTGCGTAAACGACTACAGACAAAGAAAGGGGGGGAGGGGAGCTGATCAAATAAGTTTGAGAACCATTGGCCTAGATAGACCAAGTTCTGTCGAAGTGAAGCTCTTCTCTGTGGGCTCTCCATTCCATGCAAGATGCATCCACAGTAAAAAAAACAGTTACTAACCTTGCATAACTGTTCTTCTTCGAGATGTGTTGCTCATGCCCATTCCAATCTAGGTGTGCGCTCACCCTAAGCACTGCTGCCAGAAAGTTTTTCCCTCAGTGGTATCCATTGGGTCAGTTCTAGTGCCCCCTCATTGCACGAGTATATAGGGCCCCGCCCCCCTTCTTGCTGGCCAACTCCAACAGAGGGGAAGGCAGGGTGATTTTGGAATGGACATGAGAAACATCTTGAAGAACAACTGTTTTTTCCTTCGAGTGCTTGCTCACATCCATTCCAATGTAGGTGACTCCCAAGCAGTTGTGCAGGTGGAGGGATCAGAGTTTGTTGGCACGCTGATTGTAACACCGCTCGGCCGAAGCCCACATCGTCTCTAGCTTGCTGGGTGATGGCGTAGTGTGACGCAAACGCATGGACTGACCACCACGTCGCTGTTCTACAGATAATTGGAACCTGCGTCAAACACCATCGATGATGCCTGAGTTCTTGTAGAATGTGCTGTCAACTGAGGAGCTGGGACCTTTGCCAGGTCGTAGCATGTGCAGATACAGGATGTGATCCACGATGACATTCTCTGGGTCGAGACTAGATGGCCTTTCATTCTGTCCACGATGGCTACAAAACAGCTGTGTGGACTTCCTAAAGCGTTAGTCCTTTCTATGAAAAATGCTTGCGCACACCTCACATCCAGTGAGTGGAGTCTCTATTCATCCCTGTTTGCATGTGGCTTAGAACAAAAATGACTGGCTGAAAGATATCCTGGTTACTATGAAATTATGAGACAACCTTTGGCAGAAAGGACGGGTATGGCCACAATTGTACCTTGTCCTTGAAGACCGTATAGGGTGGCTCAGAGGTAAGAGCTCAGATCTCTGAAACCCTTCTGGCAGAAGTAATGGAGACTAGGAAGGCCACCTTCCAAGACAGATAGAGCAGAGAACACGTTGCCAGCAGTTAGAATGGGGGTCCTGTTAGCCTTGCCAGCACCAAATTGAGGTCCCAAGAAGGTAGTGGCTATAGCCATTCCAGTCACTTAAGGAAATGGCCACAGACGGAGTTTGAGAAGACTGACTGCTGTTCACCCATGGGTGAAAGGCTGAGACAGCAGCTAGATGGACCCATATGGATGACAGCATTAGACCATGCTGCTTTAGGTGGAGTAGATGTTCCAGAATGAAGGACGGTGATGACTTGGCAGATCAAACACCCTTTTGTGCTGACCAGATAGAGAAATCTTTTCCACTTTGCCAGGTAAGTGGCTCTATTAGATGGCTTTCTGTTCCCTAAAAGCACCTAGCAAACAGGCCCGGAGAAAGCCAGTTCCGCTGAGTTCAGACATGGAGCTTCCATGTCATGAGGTGAAGAGATTTGAGGTTCAGATAACAGACAGCCATGATCTTGAGAGATCAAGTCTGGAAACAGTGGCAAGCTGATTGGTGTATCCACCGAGATATCTA